TATCCACAAACCTGCCAAGGCCAAAACGGACGTACCTGTGTACTTTTCGTACTTCCAGACGGAGAATGGCTCGAAGCTGGAACCCGTGTACTCGTACGAACTAAAGCTTCGCCGCAACTGGTATCACGCCCACGTCAGTACAGATAGTGGAAAGGTCGTGGGACTTGTTGACTGGGCATCGAGTGCCACTTACGAAGTGTTGAAGTTCAACGTAGCTGATCCACTTGAGGCCAGCCGGACGGTTATCAATGATCCTGCCGACAAGAAAGCATCACCTTACGGTTGGCACTCCAACAAAATCTCCTCGTACCGTGATACTCGCGGAAACAACATGTGGGCACAGGAGAACAAGGATGAGAGTGAAAATATTTTGGATCTCTACCGTCCAAATGGTGGTTCCAGCTTGGTATTCCGTTTCCCATTCGATCAGACTCAAGATCCTATCAACTATAAGGATGCTGCCATCACTCAGCTGTTCTACATCATCAACATAGTGCATGACATCCTGTACCAGTACGGTTTTAACGAGGTTTCTGGCAACTTCCAAGACAACAACGGTAATAAGGGCGGCATAGGAAACGACTTTGTCATTGGTAACGCGCAAGATCAAATAGAAACCAATGCCGCATATTTCTTGTCTCCCCCTGATGGTAAAAACGGTGTGATGTATATGTTTCTTTGGGATAAGACATCGCCCAGAAGAGATGCTACTTTCGATGCAACCATTACCATTCATGAATACGGACATGGACTCGCCAATCGCTTAACAGGTGGCCCAGCCAATTCTAACTGTCTTCAAACAAGTGAGTCTAGCGGTTTGAGTGAAGGTTGGTCGGACGTTTTGGCTAGAGTACTTCTCCAAAAGCCTGAAAACAAACGTACAGATCGATTCTTGGTAGGTGCTTACGTCAATGGGGGCAAAGGACTCCGTAAGTATCCCTACTCCACGAATATGACTGTAAATCCTTCGTTGTTCTCATACATCAACCCACCTGACGATACCGCAGCCCATGAGAAGGGTGAAGTGTGGGCTATGATTCTGTTGGAAGTTTACTGGAACTTGGTTGATCGGCTTGGATTCACACTCGACCTGTACTCTGCATTAATATACAATGGTAACACTGTTTTCCTGCACTTGATGGTCAACGGTATGAAGCTCCAACCCTGCAATCCTACATTCATCCAGGCGCGTGATGCCATCATCCAAGCAGAGGCAGCACTTACCAAAACAAAATACATGTGCGAATTATGGAAGGGCTTTGCCAAACGTGGTCTCGGTTACAATGCTAAGAGTGTGAATGGCATCGCTACGGATGGCTTCCAATTGGCCCCCGAATGCCAAAACACGAATTAACGTTTTTAAGCTTTTTTAAGGGATGTCAAACGAAAAACAGACCGCCCTGCATCTCTTTTTAATATAAATCAATGCGTTAATTGTTATGATCAGTATTGATAACACTAGATCGTATTATTCTCTTTTCTCATTTTCCTTTTGTTCTTCTTTCTATTCCTTTCTTCTTCCTTTTTTTTCCATTTTTCTTTGATGTCCAGTCGTTATATATATCGACTGGGACATGTGTGTGGCAGTTGTTCGAGGGTGCGCTTTAGTTAGTGTTTTTCTTTTTTTCTCAAAAGATAATAAAGTTAAGATCATCCTTCACAAGTGGCGATTATTGGCATAAACGAAATACACACATTCCATTAGTATTTTTGAGAGTGAGTTATACGAATCAACTATCATGATGCGTTTCGATCCAGCCACGGATCTCGTCAGATGGCTGAACATTCTACATAATATTACCCTATTAAATTGATAAAATATAAAATCTTTCAATATTAGTCCATCAACGTACTATCAGGTTGGAACATAAATTCTCCACGTTTGGATCAGTAGAATTCTATTGCCAATATAAACTACATTTTAAAAAACGTAATTATATATTCGGATAGCGCTCGGGATACTCTATCACCCTATGTATTTAGATCTTGACTTGCATTTATTTGCTGAAAAATATTTCGAGCACAGTGAAGACATCCCAACCAGTATTGACAATGTTCGAAATATTCCTCGGCAAATAAATTCAAGCTAAGATCTAAATATACAAGATGATAAAGCATTTCTAGAGCTCAGAATATATAATTACTTTTCTAAAAAATGGATTATTGTACAGATAAAAATTTTAAAAACACATGAGAAAGGAACAAAAAATGGAGTTCGTGGGGATCTAAGGGCGAGGGTGTCTTCACTGTATTCGAAATATTTTTCAGCAAATAAATAAAAGGCAAGGCCTAGATACACAGGATGATAGAGAATTTCGAACGATATCAGAACACATACTTAATTTCCTTAAAATGTAGTTTTATATTGGTAATATAAGTCTCCCGATCCAAACGTGCGGAACTTATGTTCCAACCTTATATACTCCGAACAATTAAAAGTACGTCCTGAGGATACGTTTATATTAAGTTTTATTCTAATAGTATAAGAAGAAGTTATAATGTGCTATTGTATAGGAATACACAACATGACTTGCAGTATCTAATAACATGCACCAATAGGATTACATGTCTTCCGAGAATATCCCCGGAAACTCGATTATGTCCTAGGGGTAAGAGGTAGATAGATATGTAGATATAGGAGGTGTAGGAGGTATAGGGGGTATGGGAGGTATAGGAGGTATAGGAGGTATAGGAGATATAGGAGGTATAGGAGGTA